AACGGATGCAGTGGCGACAGCCGATATCACTGTCACATTCAAAGCTGCATTTGCAAAGCTTACCATGCAACTCCCGAAAGACAGCTGATTGCAACATCTGTGCTGCAAGTATTGCATCACTTTCTCGTGCTTCGATCGTATCTTTACGAGTACGATCGTCCTTGGTGATGCGAACTGGATTGAAAGTCCGTTGTTTGGCTTGGCACGGATGCAAATTACAATTTTGCTCAATGGGAACTTCGAAGATTTCATCGTTGCCCCCAAATGAAACAGTGCGATTGGGTGTAACTGGCATGGCAAAATGCTGGTTGAAACAATGCGGAGAGGCGATGCCTTCCGGCACGCAATGAGTGCTGGTCGAAGGGTTGACGACTGCGACCATCATCAGAGCGCGCATCAGGCAAACTGCAGCTGAGCCAGAGGAAGATGGTTTTCCCCCTTTGTCCTTGAGACTCTGTGAGCCTTTCGAGGAATTGGAACCTCGACTTGACGATCTGGAGCGATCGCCCTTCTTCTTGTTCTTCTTCTTCTTCTTTTTCTGGCTCTTTCCACGCTTGTCATCTTTTGTAGATGCAGCTGCAGGCTTTGGTGGGTGTTGGAAAGCACAGTCATTACCTCGTTGACACTTACCTGCCTTCCAAAACTTGCACACTTGGTTCCTAGATCCTGGAGACAAAGACCGACTATTGCCTCTTGACTTGGACCTGGACTTGCCTTTCTTACCTCCGCCTTTTCCTTTGTCTGACTTTTCATGTTTATATCGGCAATCCTTTCCCCTGGTACACTTGCCAGCCTGGAAGTCATAGCAAATGCCAGTGGGCTTTCCCGCGGATGGCGGCCGTGCGGGTGCTGGCGTAGCATCTCTTTTGCCTGAAACAGACTTCTTGGTAGCCTGGCGCATCTTTTCAAGACGTCTCCTCTCAAGGTAGTCCCTTGCAGCTTTCATGAGAAAATCATAAGAGCGCTTGGGTTCCCCCTCCGGTGTGCGATCATACACAGCCAGATCATGAGAGAGAGGCTTGAAATTCTTGATGGCGTTGTGAAAGTATGCTTGCTTCCACATCATGTCAGGCTCGGAAGTCATTCCAGCGATCACAGCGTCCCATCGGGTGATGAAACCTCTGAGATCATCATTGACTAAGGTAATTAACAGCCATGAGGTCCTCAATGTCGTACACTGCACCATGTTTCCTACTTGTGCTAAAGTGTTTATGAATCATGAGCAATGCTTGACGTCCTCTAGCTGGTGTCCCTGATTTGGCTTGTTCTTCCTTAAAGATGTCAAGTTGCCGTGCAAAGTCCCCTTCGCAGATGTTGGTGAGCGAAGACATGAGCTTTGCGTCAAGGGTCACGAATTTACCTGAGTCCTTCAAGGCATCAACAGACTGGTCTGTCCTGAAAACTTCTTCCACCCACTGAAAAGCTAGGTCGGGTTTGGCTGAAGCCGCAATTATGGCATCCCTTACTCGGATTCTCCAATTCCTATAATTTTCGGGTTGAGGGAACTTAGGTACTAGGATCCTATCAGACTCTTTGGCCTTATGATCAGCAGTCCTAGAACGTTCTAAGGCCCTTTTGACCTTTCGTGCAAAGGAACTCTCAGAATCCGAACTTGACGTCGTAGGGGATGAAGACGAAGAAGGTGATGGCGAAGGATCTCTTCGATGTCGTCGTCTTGATCTACCACGACTGGTCTTTCGATCCTTTTTCTTGTCCTTCTTATCTTTGCGACTTTTCTTGTCGTTGAAGTCCTCGTTGTCGTCATCATCTCCTGGATGTCCACCACCAGGAAGTCCCGGCGGCTTCGAAGGTTCTGCCAATAAATGCTCATCGTCTGCATCTGACGAATGCTGAGGCTTCTTGCTTCCCGAAGCTAACTCCTCAATGATAGGACTTGTAGGCTTCGAGGATTGTGGAACGGGTTTTCCGGGTCCATAACGAATCCTGAGTCCAGGAGTTCCCTCCAGAGGTTGAGACTTTAGGTTCCGAATGAGCTCTTTCTGCTCCTTCCGAAGCTTCTCAATCTCTGCCTCGAAGTCCTTCTTCTGAGATTCGGCTAGCTTCTGCATGTTCAAAGCGTGTTGATTCATTGCATCAATCTGAGTGCGGTACTCGGCAAGTTCCGAACGGGCTGCCTGCAGATCAGCGTTGGACTTCTCTGCAGACGATGTCAAGGCACCTGCACTGTTGACAACATGGGTCAGTTCGGCACTCAGTTCCCTGATGCGATGATCCTGCGCTGTGACCTGCAGTTGAGCAGACTTCTGCTCGCTCATCGCCTGGGCGGCTTGCTCGTTCAACAAAAGGTTCTTCCTGGAAATCTCTTCGGCTGCTTGTTGTTCAACGCTTGCAAGTTGATCTCGGGCTTCACTCACAAGCTCCATACGTTGACGTTCCATGACCTCAGAGTGACGTACATTTGCCTCACTCTGCAATGCCTGCTGCTGAGCAGCCATGAGTTGGTTCGCCAGGTTTGGATCAATGCCTTGTTGTACCACTGCCACGTGGGCGGTACGCTGATCAACACTATTAAAATTGATGGTGTTGAATTGACTGATGTCAATGTTTGAATCCAAGACACCTGGCATGTTCCTGCGTGGATCTTGACGGCATGGGTCAAACTCTTCATCCAGGTAACTCATATCACCTTCAGTTGTTGCCGTGCCTGAATGGATTACCACTTCCTCCGGTTGTGATGTGTTCGCCAATGCTAAGGCAGCCGTGGCGTTCCCGCCCGGGGCAGGCAACGCTGGGGGATTTGACATGGCGAAAGCTAGAGGAGAAAGAACGAAAAGTGTGAGACAAAAGGAAATCAACCAAATCACCTTTGGCGATACGGCTGATAACCTGTAGAAACTAGTTACCAACCACAACACACCACAAATCAGCTAGCACTATTTCTTGAGCCACAGCGACATAGTAACTAAGGTGAAAATGACTATACATGTAATAGGACTGTGCAACAACAGATTAGATAGATTAGATCGATTAGATCGATTAGATCGATTAGATAGATTAGATAGATTAGATAGATTAGATGGATCAGATAGATCAGATAGATCAGATAGATTAGATAGATTAGATAGATTAGATAGATTAGATAGATTAGATAGATTAGATAGATTAGATAGATTAGATAGATTTAGATAGATTAGATAGATTAGATAGATTAGATAGATTAGATAGATTAGATAGATTAGATAGATTAGATAGATAGATAGATAGATAGATAGATAGATAGATAGATAGATAGATAGATAGATAGATAGATAGATAGATAGATAGATAGATAGATAGATTAGATAGATTAGATAGATTAGATAGATTAGATAGATAGATAGATAGATAGATAGATAGATAGATAGATAGATAGATAGATAGATAGATAGATAGAGATAGATCAGATAGATAGATAGATAGATAGATTAGATAGATTAGATAGATTAGATAGATTAGATAGATTAGATAGATTAGATAGATTAGATAGATTAGATAGATTAGATAGATTAGATAGATAGATTAGATAGATTAGATAGAGAGATAGATTAGATAGATTAGATAGATTAGATAGATTCGATAGATTAGATAGATTAGATAGATTAGATAGATTAGATAGATTAGATAGATTAGATTAGATAGATTAGATAGATTAGATAGATAGATAGATAGATAGATAGATTAGATTAGATAGATTAGATAGATTAGATAGATAGATTAGATAGATTAGATAGATTAGATAGATTAGATAGATTAGATAGATTAGATTAGATTAGATTAGATTAGATTAGATTAGATTAGATTAGATTAGATTAGATTAGATAGATAGATAGCTAGATAGATAGATAGATAGACAGATAGATAGATAGATAGGTAGATAGATAGATAGATAAGTAAGATAGATAGATAGAAAGATAGATAGATAGATAGATAGATGGATAGATGGATAGATGGATAGATGGATAGATGGATAGATGGATAGATGGATAGATGGATAGATGGATAGATGGATAGATGGATAGATGGATAGATGGATAGATAGATAGATAGATGGATAGATGGATAGATAGATAGAAGCTGGAAATAAGCATAGAAAAGATAAGTTATGAAGAGTCGACATTCAAAATTAAAATGAACTTCAAAGTTCTTCAAAGGTTTGAATGACCATAGCCCACCCAAAAAAAAAAAAACATGATTCCCGCAAGAGACCCCAAACAGTGTGGGGGGGAAGTGACAGGTAATGCATATAATGTTGATGATTCTGTTAATGTTGCTGCTGATTTTGATTTTGATGGTGGTGTTGTTGATGATGATGATGCTGCTGCTGATGATGACGACGATGATGACGATGAGGGCTGTGATGATGATGATGATGATGATGATGATGATGATGATGATGATGATGGCGATGATGGCGATGATGATGTGGATGCTGCGGATGATGATGATGATGATGATGATGATGATGATGATGATGATGAGGAAGATGATGATGTGGATGTTGAAGAGGAGGAGGCAGATGATGATGTTGAGGAGGAGGATGTTGAGGAGAAAGACCGATCCCAAGACCGGGAACACACCTTGTGCGAGCCTGCGCGGTCGAAATGTACACGGAACGGACATTTCACAAGAGCCATTTTGTATCGAATTTTACAGTAAAAACGACCGGGGACACCTCCGGGGACATCGTTTTGTGCGAGCCTGCGCACGCAAAAGATCGCAAAAGCCATTTTGTGGAAATTTACAGGGAAAATGCCGGACGCGAATCCCACGACGCCCGTTTTGTGCGAGCCCGCGGCCTGCGCAGTCGAAATGCACATGGACATGTCACAAGAGGCATTTTGTGCGAAAATTTACAGGGAAAATGCCGGACGCTTCCAAGACCACCTCGATTGAACACCGGGCCTTAACTGTTACCGTAAGAACCCCTCAGTGTGGCCACACTGTTTAGATCTGTTTAGGGAAAATCACAAAAATTGCATAATTTTGCCAATGCAGGAATCTCTTCCGGTCTCAATCCACAACCTCGCAGCCATCTTCGTAAGCCTTCCAGTGGGGGAGCTTGGTAGTCAGCATGCATGCTGGACTGACCATCAAATCGCGCTGGTGGTTGCGCAGCTTCTGGCTGGACATCACGGCTTTGCAACATCTGGCGTAACGCTTCCAAAGGTGGTGCTTGGTAATCTCGCTGTGCACTGGACTCACCTTCAAATCTGCTTCCTCCCAGAATTGCATTTGGAAAACCAGGAGCTTGGCTGGGATGAGCATGGTTTGCATAGGAATCTCTCAGCGCATCTTGTGGAGGTGCTGGATAATCTGCATGAGTGGTGGATTGGCCTTCGAAGCAAACTTGCTCATATGATTGCCGGGTTTGCTCCACAAATGGAGCTTGCCTCAACTGGTCCAAGGGTGGAGGTCGATAATCATGATGTGTGGTGGACTGGCTGGGTTCGGGTGCATCAGGGCGAAGAAGTTGTTGTGTTTCTTCGGGTTTGTCTGGAACTCTCCTTGCTGCAAGGGAAGGGGCTGGAGGAGCAGTGTAGTCCACATGCGTTGTGGATTCACCCTCAAAGCGGGCAGGCAACAACTTGAATGAATCGTCAGCTTTCTGGCTTGCTGCTGTGACCCTCACATCCTCCATAGCGGGCGCTTGGTAGTCCTGATGTGCAGTGGACTCCTTGACCGAAGTTGGATATGGATAGAAAATGTCTCTGCTACTTGGTTCAGGTCTTTTTTGTTGAAGTCTGCCCGGTGCAAAGGCAGTCATTGGAGGAGCTTGGTAGTCAGCATGCATGCTGGACTGACCATCAAATCGCGCTGGTGGTTGCGCAGCTGCTGGCTGGACATCACGGCTTTGCAACATCTGGCGTAACGCTTCCAAAGGTGGTGCTTGGTAATCTCGCTGTGCACTGGACTCACCTTCAAATCTGCTTCCTCCCAGAATTGCATTTGGAAAACCAGGAGCTTGGCTGGGATGAGCATGGTTTGCATAGGAATCTCTCAGCGCATCTTGTGGAGGTGCTGGATAATCTGCATGAGTGGTGGATTGGCCTTCGAAGCAAACTTGCTCATATGATTGCCGGGTTTGCTCCACAAATGGAGCTTGCCTCAACTGGTCCAAGGGTGGAGGTCGATAATCATGATGTGTGGTGGACTGGCTGGGTTCGGGTGCATCAGGGCGAAGAAGTTGTTGTGTTTCTTCGGGTTTGTCTGGAACTCTCCTTGCTGCAAGGGAAGGGGCTGGAGGAGCAGTGTAGTCCACATGCGTTGTGGATTCACCCTCAAAGCGGGCAGGCAACAACTTGAATGAATCGTCAGCTTTCTGGCTTGCTGCTGTGACCCTCACATCCTCCATAGCGGGCGCTTGGTAGTCCTGATGTGCAGTGGACTCCTTGACCGAAGTTGGATATGGATAGAAAATGTCTCTGCTACTTGGTTCAGGTCTTTTTTGTTGAAGTCTGCCCGGTGCAAAGGCAGTCATTGGAGGAGCTTGGTAGTCAGCATGCATGCTGGACTGACCATCAAATCGCGCTGGTGGTTGCGCAGCTCTGGCTGGACATCACGGCTTTGCAACATCTGGCGTAACGCTTCCAAAGGTGGTGCTTGGTAATCTCGCTGTGCACTGGACTCACCTTCAAATCTGCTTCCTCCCAGAATTGCATTTGGAAAACCAGGAGCTTGGCTGGGATGAGCATGGTTTGCATAGGAATCTCTCAGCGCATCTTGTGGAGGTGCTGGATAATCTGCATGAGTGGTGGATTGGCCTTCGAAGCAAACTTGCTCATATGATTGCCGGGTTTGCTCCACAAATGGAGCTTGCCTCAACTGGTCCAAGGGTGGAGGTCGATAATCATGATGTGTGGTGGACTGGCTGGGTTCGGGTGCATCAGGGCGAAGAAGTTGTTGTGTTTCTTCGGGTTTGTCTGGAACTCTCCTTGCTGCAAGGGAAGGGGCTGGAGGAGCAGTGTAGTCCACATGCGTTGTGGATTCACCCTCAAAGCGGGCAGGCAACAACTTGAATGAATCGTCAGCTTTCTGGCTTGCTGCTGTGACCCTCACATCCTCCATAGCGGGCGCTTGGTAGTCCTGATGTGCAGTGGACTCCTTGACCGAAGTTGGATATGGATAGAAAATGTCTCTGCTACTTGGTTCAGGTCTTTTTTGTTGAAGTCTGCCCGGTGCAAAGGCAGTCATTGGAGGAGCTTGGTAGTCAGCATGCATGCTGGACTGACCATCAAATCGCGCTGGTGGTTGCGCAGCTGCTGGCTGGACATCACGGCTTTGCAACATCTGGCGTAACGCTTCCAAAGGTGGTGCTTGGTAATCTCGCTGTGCACTGGACTCACCTTCAAATCTGCTTCCTCCCAGAATTGCATTTGGAAAACCAGGAGCTTGGCTGGGATGAGCATGGTTTGCATAGGAATCTCTCAGCGCATCTTGTGGAGGTGCTGGATAATCTGCATGAGTGGTGGATTGGCCTTCGAAGCAAACTTGCTCATATGATTGCCGGGTTTGCTCCACAAATGGAGCTTGCCTCAACTGGTCCAAGGGTGGAGGTCGATAATCATGATGTGTGGTGGACTGGCTGGGTTCGGGTGCATCAGGGCGAAGAAGTTGTTGTGTTTCTTCGGGTTTGTCTGGAACTCTCCTTGCTGCAAGGGAAGGGGCTGGAGGAGCAGTGTAGTCCACATGCGTTGTGGATTCACCCTCAAAGCGGGCAGGCAACAACTTGAATGAATCGTCAGCTTTCTGGCTTGCTGCTGTGACCCTCACATCCTCCATAGCGGGCGCTTGGTAGTCCTGATGTGCAGTGGACTCCTTGACCGAAGTTGGATATGGATAGAAAATGTCTCTGCTACTTGGTTCAGGTCTTTTTTGTTGAAGTCTGCCCGGTGCAAAGGCAGTCATTGGAGGAGCTTGGTAGTCAGCATGCATGCTGGACTGACCATCAAATCGCGCTGGTGGTTGCGCAGCTGCTGGCTGGACATCACGGCTTTGCAACATCTGGCGTAACGCTTCCAAAGGTGGTGCTTGGTAATCTCGCTGTGCACTGGACTCACCTTCAAATCTGCTTCCTCCCAGAATTGCATTTGGAAAACCAGGAGCTTGGCTGGGATGAGCATGGTTTGCATAGGAATCTCTCAGCGCATCTTGTGGAGGTGCTGGATAATCTGCATGAGTGGTGGATTGGCCGTGGAATTGGGCAGCTTGCCAGGCAGGTGGAGGTGGAGGAAGAGCCACCTGAATGGGTCAAATGAGTGCAGGCACCGAATCATTACGGTGACCACCTCATTTCAAAAATTTCTATGTTCATTCATTCGTGGCCGAATTGTCAACATCTAACGGACCGTTCTTGCTCTTGAGGCTCTTGTGTCATCGTTTTTCGTTAGGGCCTAGTTAAAATAGTTGGCTATTGCCCATCAAAAGAGCGCATGTTTTACCAGAACCTGTCACACAGCTGCTAGTGCCGGCTAGTCACAGCACATGACTTCAGGTCAGCAAGCGTCGGCGCTGGGAAGTCTGCGTGGGTGCGAGATTGGCCGGAAAACCGGGCCTGGGCTGGCTTGCTGCATTTCAAACATTCCAAAGGAAACAGTCAATGAATGTCATTGAAGTCCCCCCATTGGAACATTTCCTCATCATATTTCTCCAAATGATCACATGATGTCACTACATGACCAACTATCTTGCTTCAGCCATCACTCTGCAACTGGCCCAGGCACCAGCTTCCCTGCCATGCCAACATCCTGCAGTCTTGGGTTTGCAGTAGCATCACTAGCAACCAAAGGCAGCACTGTTGCCCACGCAAAAAGTTAGCAAAGATGCTTCCACTGCTTCCACTGAACTAAAGCAACATCAGGTCCTCCCAGAAGTGGGAGGAAGTCACACTTGCAGGCTGCGGCAGCAACGTTGGAAGCGGTGGGGGCTTGAAGTCAGCATGCGTTTGCGATTCACCTGAGAGACAATGACTCCTAAAACGGGTAAGACCTTGCTTAAAGAAAGAACGAGAAAAAACCTGAGCAAGTCCAAGTAAGTGTGCAAAAAACAAAACGAAACAAGGTCAAGTCAGTCGGTTGCACAAGAGCCACTGAACCAAGGGGGCATGAGGAATTCAAAGTATGTGAATGTGATGTATAGATATATATATACACAGTATATATATATCATATTTTGGCCAGTCTTGATTCCCACAATCACAATCAAAATGGCGGCCCCAGTGTGTTCAGCCCGGGCACATGTTGTGTGCTCGCCACCGAACAGCAAAGAAGAGGGTGCCTTCATGACAGGATACTGTATGTTCCAAATGCATGCGCTCAAAAGCGCTACCCTGAAGTGAACGACACCAAAGTTTGTCGTTGGTGATTCAGCAGCATGGATGACCGTATATAATATTGCAGTTGTGGTTCCTTTCCTCTACCTAGTAGCATTATCTAGCATTCTGCATGGCATTGTTTATATTGTTTGGCAACAATTTGGCAAGCACTCCCAGTCAGATCCAATCACTTGCAGGCCACAATGCACTTTGACAACAAACCTGCGCCCAGTAGACAGGCTTTGGGAATGCATCGATCGGAGGAGGACGGAAATCCTCCTGCATCTGCGACCCTCCTGAATGAGCAAATCGAGAGCCAAGCGCAAGAAGTGAGGCCATCTTTGGAACATTTTCGAATTCAAAACATGCCAAAACCCAGTGCATCCCTTCCAATAAAGTCCTGTGAAGTTGACGTACCTGGCTGCTCACCCAAGTGCCGGCATGTTTAAAAATATCCACAAGAACAGAGACAAAGGGAAGAGAACCTGACCAGGAGAGAAGAGGGGAAAACTTCACAGGAGTAGAACCTCCACTGTTCCAAATGGCAACCATGTGAGAAATCATATGCAAATTATTTATAATCATATGTGCGCAGAGTGCTCCTGTGCAAGTGAAGAAGAATTGTGCCGAGAAGGCAACCTAAATGATTGAAAACAGCTAAAACTAGAGCTCAAAGAATGATCATCCAACGAATTTGCAGGCTCCTCAGGAGAGGCCGGTGCTAGCTGACCCCAAAACCCAATAGAGTTTGATGATAGGAAACTGAAACTAATCCAAGTGGCGGCCGATCAAAGCACAATCGACTGGCAGCCTCCCTGTCCAGTACAATATCATCCTGCATGTTGATTCCCAGTTTGGAACCAATCAACAGAAGCGATGTCGACAAACGAAAGTCAGTCAGAAACTTAAACATGTTTAAGAGATTGGCACCGACCGACGCCGACCGACTTGGAGAATCAGGGAGCTTGCCTCAACTCTTGCATCAATCAGGCCAAAAACAAACATTCCCTGACCTGAACGAACATCGAAACTCCAGTGAAACGGTCACTACGAAATCCACAAACAAAAAATGTTCCGAACATTTCCGAACCGTCTTTCTACACCTGGAAACATACAGATGGATGGGTCTAAAACATTCTAAAACTGTGCGCTCACCCCGCGTCAAACGTTGAGTTCTGAAACCTTTTCCAGTCACTTTCAACCCATCATACAGACGTGCCCCAACTACAGCATCACTTCATCCCTGGAGCACTTTGGAACCAACTGCCACCCTGAAGATTTTTCGCTACCATATTTGAACATTGTGGTTTGGACTTGTGGTTTGGACTACAGTCATCTAACTTATCGCAACATATCGCAACATATCACAACACAACGTGAATCAAAAAGAAACGTTTCAGGTCTTCAGGTCGCAATGTTCCTTCTTCATGTAACGCAGGTCTGGCACAGGAGGAACGTTGCCAACCTCGTGCCGAACTCAGCTGCACCGATGAACCAAAACACTGAAATGATGAAAAACATTGCAGTCTGCTAGAGATGCTTGGATATGTTTGATATCAAGGCATGAGTAGCAGTAGCAAGTGGCATGTACAGAATACATTCAGGACATTATATATTTGTCGGTTCCTGGTGTGAGTCTATACCACCGATCACAATCCCACACGCACTAATGATACAATATGAATCAATATGATACAATGACACCATGAAGGCCGTGTTTGTTTGAATTTGTTTTGCCATTCATGTTTCCCGAGCATCCAACCTGTTGAGGTGGTTGTTTGCGTTCTCTGTGGTGTTCCTGGGCCGAAAACAAAATTCACTCAAACATACTCAAACTGGAGCAACGCTGGGGAGTGGCCGTCCTCAGGCCGACCGCCATAGCGAAGTGGGGAGTCCATCCTGCGTCCACATCACCCATGGAAATGGTCGGCAAAAACAAAAAAACTAAGAAAACATCGTGTTAAGAGCGTGGCCACTCCGAAACATTAACTGAAAAATTGGCAGTTCATGGCAAAACAAGAAAACCTTGCAACAAACATCGACAAACTAGAGCAAAATCGCTATACCCAACGTGCGCAATGAATTTCATAGTTTGCAGTCCAGCCCATCATCATAACACAGACACCAAAGAAAACATGGAAAAACATCGGGGTTGCCACAGGTTTTGTAGATACAAATCTGACTTTGGAACACAA